ACTTCATTTTTCTGGATCTGAAGAAACTTGAAGCGGGGAATTTTGGCATCGCTGACAAAAGATTTTCGTTTCATGGAGGGGGAGAGAGCAGCTGCGCAGCAGTTGTTTTTTGGAGTTTCCCTCGACAAGTTTGACATCCGCTGTACGAGCATCGACGGATAGATGATGTTTGACCGACTAAATCGACGGACAGATTCGAGTTGGCCTTTAGGGGAATTTCGCAGGAGTTTGCGAAAGTTGAAGGCGTGCTTACATTAACTGCCTTAGGCGACATCGACTACGGTTACAGGACTGACGGAGCTTTCGTCCTTGAGCTGATGGAATTCGCTGACTTTCGTGAGACACGGACGCGTGTTCTCGCATGTGTCACGAATGACTTCGCACTTGACGAATTGCTGGATTTCGTTGACTTTGCGAAATACGGACGCGTGTTTCTGCGAGTGCCACGACTCGCGTGGAGCTAAACGAGGAGCGATCTACAGTTATGGAGCTACGAACAAGTTTGGCGCATGCAGAAGATTCGGCTCGCCAACTTGCAGCAGTATGAATAACGTGGTGTTATTGTGCGGATACAGTACACGACGATTGGGTTTGTAATCCTCGGCGAAGGATTCGCTGGAGACATGGAAGCTGTGGTGCGGTAGTATCCCTACTGCCCGTTTGGTTATCTGGGTGATTCGACCAAGATTCGACGGCTACGATCGACCGCGATCGTTTCGACGTGTTTCGACCGTTGGATGGAGTTTCTTGAAGAAGCTCGAGATTCTCAACAGTGGTGGCTTCACTACTACGAGATTCAGTTAGAGTGTGTGTAGTTTTATTTATTTGTGTGCTTATCTAGAAGGGGGGAGAGTGTAAGGAATTAGGGATTCCTTACTGAGGCTTGCTCCGGGGCGTACGACTCGAAACAGTCCCGAACCATCGCCAGGGTTCAGACCTATCAGTTCGAGCCTCCTGGGCCTTTCCGGACCTCGCTACGACACATCGAGGCCCTTCGACACTTTTCCCGAACCTTTCGATCCTACGTCAAGGACCACCTAGGCTTTCTATATATTGTATTGTCTTTTCATTTTATTGTCATTCACTCGTTCACAGTTTCGCCATTGCCCTCCGCGCTACTCGGCAGTCCCATTCATAACACACAGCGACTCGATTGTTGCTTCGGTTACCATCATTGCAGTTGTAACGGTCAGTCGCAACCTCCGGTTGCGACCCTTCGAGTCCTTTCGTGTTCTTTGTCCATCCCCTCGTGTAACCTCCGTCGACTCGCGTACCCGTTACGATCTTTCCTCGAGTGTGGTGTTACACTTCAGAAACGCTTAAGTCCTTGAGATATTTCCAACAGGATCCAAGGAGGCCTTGCCACGATTGGTGTGCGATAGTCGGGAGTCGCGGATAGTCCGACACGCGAACAATAGTTTGCCCACATGAACAAGGTGCGATCGCGCATCGGAAAAAGAAAAAAGAGGAAAGGCGTGCTACAGCGTCAGCCACATGTACCACATGCACAGTTGGTCATGGAGCTCCCTGCCCAATAGGGATGTTGCCCAGGATTGTTTGCCCACGCAATCACGAGCACGTGAGAGTGTTGTGATAAATCGTACTTCTGCAAGTAGTTCCGATAGATATTATCGAATTACACTGTAGCTAGCATCCGTAGAATGACGTCAGCAAACAGCGCTCGTTTGGATGGTTACGTCAGCAGGCCGTTTTAGTCACGCGAACAGTCGCGTTCTTTTCAGTAGCGATTAGAGCGCATAGCGCAAGTAGTTTTGAACGATTACATTATCGAACAGGTACTTCTAACAGATATAAAAGTAGCTTGTATTGTCAACTTATATATATCATGCATGTAGAAGTTATAGGCTAGTATCAGTGTGTGCTCCTAGTGAGTACAACCCAACTGCTATATGTTCCCTGTTTCCCCTTCTAGTCAATCATTATCGTATTCTAACATGGTATCGAGTAGGTTAGGTCCACCCACCCGCTTCCGCCCGCGCCCTAGCCTCTCGCCTCCCCCCTACCTACCTAGCCCGGCCCGGCCTGTAGCACCGCCCGCCCCGTAGCGCCCTCCTGGCCCCCCCGTCGCGTCCTCCAGGCCCCGTAGCGCCCTCCTAGCCCCCGTCGCGCCCTCCAGGCCCCGTAGCGCCCTCCTGGCCTCCGTCGCGCCCTCCAGGCCCCGTAGCGCCCTCCTGGCCCCCGTCGCGCCCTCCAGGCCTCGTAGCGCCCTCCTGGCGCCCGTCGCGCCCTCCAGGCCCCGTCGCGCCCTCCTGGCCCTCGTCGCGCCCGCCTGGCCCCACCGCCCCCGCCTGGCCCTGTCGCGCCCGCCCGGCCCCGTCGCGCCGCTAGGCCCCTCCTAGCTACCGCCCGGCCCTTCGACCGCCGGCCCGGCCCCTCCCTAGCGCCCGTTCGGCCCCAGCAGCGCCCGCCGGCCTCTTCCTAGCGCCCGCCCGGCCCTCCTAGCGCCCGCCCGGCCTCTCGCGCCAGCCCGGCCCGTCGCGCCTGCCCGGCTTCCAGCGCCAGCCCGGCCCCTCCTACTTCCCGACAGGCCCCTCCTCGTGCCTGCTCGACCTGACGTGCCACCTCGGGCCCCGGGTCTTTTGCTTGCCCGCGCTGGGGCGCCTCACAGCCGCCCTACTGGAGAGTGCTGCCGCCGTGTCCCCATGCCGCTGTGCTCCTGCGGAGCTGTGGAGCTGTGCCGCTGTGTCGCTGAGGAGCTGTGTCGCTGACCCTGCACAATGGCTGACTTCGTGCTCCGACTGGACGCTGAGGGCCACGCGGTTGACTTCGCCGCCTGGCTCTCCGATCTCCGCCGTCAGCTTACAGGTCAGCGCCAGGATGGACACTCATTGGTTGTTCATGCCGATGGCTTGCTCCCCCGCCCCCCTGCACCTGCTCCCCTCCCTGCTGACCCCACCTCTGCTGAGCATGAGGCTTTCTCTGCTGCTGCGCTTGCCTGTGCGGTCTGGGACTCACGCGATGCAGTAGCTCAGGTTGCTATCAGTCACGCCCTCCCTGTGTCTGAGCGCTCGCGTTTCGCTACGGTTGCTACGGCCAAAGGTTATTTGATGCTGTTGTTGCTCGCTATTCCACACCTGCATCCGCTTCTGCCGGTCGCTTGCTCTTCCCGATGCTGTTCCCAGACCTTGCTGCCTTCCCTACTGTTGCAGACTTTGCCACTCACTTGCGTGCCCTAGAGACTCGCTATCGCACTGCCAGCACTGCTGCCCAGCTCACTGCGCTCCCCCCCCCATTCTGCATGATGCTCTATTTTATCGCCATGCGCCTGCCGGACCGCCTAGCTAGTGCCCGCGACCGCTTCCTTAGCCAGCACCCGGGTGACCTCACCCTGACCGCCTTTGTCGACACCCTCACCGAGATCGAGACTCGCCAACGCACTATCGCCCAGTCAAGCCGGTGCGCCCAGCAGTCTATCTTTTCACAGCTGTGCCCCCTCCCAGTGCACGTTTACTGACGTTTCGGCTGCGGTCGCCACTGCGACCCTCTTACCGAGATGGCTGATGCGGTCCACCCGCAGCAGCGCCTGCGCTGCGTTGGCCGTGGCCGCCAGGGAGGTCATGGTGGTGGCGCTGGTGGTGGTGGTAGTGGTGGTGGTGATGGTAGTGCACCTGAGGGGACTACCACCGGTGGGCAGGAGCAGACGCAGTCGCCTTCGCAGCACGAGCAGCCCCAGCAGCAGCCGCCGCCGTCCAGCAACAGCCGCCGCAGCCGTGGGCTCGTCTCCCACCTGGTTGGCCCGGCACCTCCGGAGGTGGTGGCCGTGGTGGTGGCCCGCGTAGCGTGGCGTCTACCGGCAGCTCCGGTGCTGTGACCTGCCAGCTTCAGACCGGGCCTCTCCGCGGCACTCTGTGCCGCCGCCCGCACCCGACCGCCCGCTGTTTCCGCCGCCTCGACGATCTCTTTCGTCGTCGCTTTGGCCCGGCCCCGGACCTCCCCGACTGACACAGCCTGCTTCGCCAGGGCGTGCCGATCTTTGAGTTAGATATGGATTAAATAGGCGCTGCTTTGCATGCCTTGTATGCTCACGCTTCTAGTATTGCTGGATCTTCTTACCCTGTGTACTCTAGTTTAGGTGTATCACCCTTGTGTAGCTTAGCCTCCCCTGCTGTGTCAGGCGTAGGACTGCCTAGTTTGCCTAGCCTAGGTTCTGCACCGACTCCGTTCCCGGCCTCCGCTACTGCCTCGCTGTCCTTCACTCTCGACTCCGGTGCTTCTGCCTGTTTCTTCTGCGACCGCTCCACGCTCTCACCGCTTGCTGCGCCTGCTGTTGTCGCTCTCGCTGACCCCTCTGCGGGTCCCATCGTCGCTCGCAGCTCCACTACTCTTCCCTGTCCCGCCGTTCCCTATGGCTCCCTTACAGGCCTCCGCGTTCCCTCGTTCTCCAGGAACCTGGTTGGTGTCGGCTGTCTTCAGGACCTCGGCGTCACCACCACGTTCCCTGGGCACGAGCGGTTCGCTGTCTGTACCGAGGCTGTCACAGGTTCCCCCCTTGCGACGTTCCCCCGGGACCCGATGTCCGGTCTGTTAACTCTCGACACCGCTCCCCCCCTGGCTGGTGCGTCCTCCCAGGTCGCTGCAGCTTGCTCGTGTCGGTCCCTCACTCACCCGTCCCTTTTGTGGCACTACCGCTTAGGTCACCCTGCTCTCCCGCATCTGCGTCACATGTCCCAGCACGGTCTTGTCTTAGGCCTCCACGCGTCGCTCCCCGCCCTTCCCTTCTCGCCTGCTCCACCGTGCACACCCTGCGTCGAGGGCCGGCTCCACCGTGCCCCTCACTCCTCCTCGCTTCGCCCTGCAATTGCTCCCCTTCAGACCCTGCACCTGGACATTTGCGGCCCAGCCCCCGTTCCCGGACCGCGTCGTGAGCGCTACTTTCTAGTGCTCGTCGACGACTACACCCGCTACACCACGGTGTTTCCCCTGGAGCGGAAGGCCGACGTGCCCGACGTTCTTCTCCCGTGGGTTGTGGCTGCGCGTCTTCACCACGGTCTCCCCGTGTGGTGTCTCCACTCTGACCGTGGCGGCAAGTTCGCCTCTGGTCGGCTTGGACATTCTGTCGTGCGGAGGGCATCACCCAGTCGTACACCTTGCCGCACTCGCCACAGCAGAATGGGGTTGTTGAGCGCCGCATCGGCTTGGTCATGGAGGTGGCTCGTACCTCCATCATCCATGCCGATGCCCCCCATTTTCTGTGGCCGTTCGCTGTTCGCTACGCTGCTCACCAGCTTAACTTGTGGCCACGCTCCCAGCGGCCGCAGGTTTCGCCGACCCTCCTTTGGACCGGGTCCCCGGTGACGCATCTGCGTTCCACGTCTGGGGCTGCCTTGCTCACATTCATGCCTCTGGCACGGACAAGCTCACTGCCCGCACTGTCCCCTGTGTCTTCCTTGGTTTCCCCCTGGACTCGTCTGACTGGCTCTTCTACCACCCGCAGTCTCACCGCTTCCTCCACTCTCGTGACGTCACCTTTCACGAGTCCGTCTCCTTCTTCCGTCGCTTCCCTCACCGAGGTCTCCCGGTTTCACCCCCCTGTTCCTTGCTCCCTCTCCCCGGTAGCCCTCCTCCACTCCCGCCTCGTCTTGCCCCGTCTGGTGTCTCCCATGTCACTCCCCTCCCGTCGGTTGTCCCCGTTGAGGAGTCTGCTGACTCTGGTTGGCGCGTCCCCCTTCCCTGGTGTCTCCGCCCCCGCTGTCACAGTCGCCGCCGTCGCTGCCGCCGCCGCCGCCGCCGCCGCTCTTGGCCTCTGGGGGTGCTGGCGCTGAGGAGGGTGTTCGTCCTGCGGCTCCTGGCGTGGTCTGTCCCGGCGGGCCTGGGGGTGCCACTGGGGCTGGAGAGGGTTCTCGCTCTGGGGGTGTTGGTTCTGGGGGTGCTGCTGTTGAGTGTTCTCCCGGAGGTCGTCGTGCCCCTGCTGGTTCGAGGGTCGAGCACCAGCCGCCGCAGCAGCCGCCGCAGTCATCGCCGCCGGTCTCCGCTCTTCGCCTCCTCGGCCTTCCCTCTCCTGACCGCTCGCCGGTGTCTCCCCCACCTCCTCCTCTCCTTCCTGTCTACGGCCCTGTGTTCCCGCCCCCGGACTCTTCTCTGGCCCGTCTTCCTCCTCGTTCCTCTTTTGTGTCCCCTCCGCTTTCTCCTGACCCTACACCTCCGTCCCACGTTTGGTCTCGCCGTCCCTCACGTGCTTGTCCCGTCTCTCCTGTCCTGCGCTCCCACCCTATGTTGCTCCATTCCCACTCGTCTCGTCCTCCCTCCTCCCGTCGCCCCCTCCCTCGTCCCTTGCGGTTGCACCTCCTCTGCTGTCTGACTACCTCTGTGCCGCTCGTCCCCTTATCCCTCGTGTTCTTGCCTCTCTTGTTACCGACCCGTCTGTTCCTGTCTCGCGCCTTGACGCGCTTGTCGCTGCTATCGCTGACCTCGCCTCTATCTGCCGCCTTGACTACGCGACCGCTCTGGTCTCTGACCCTGCATGTCCTTCGTCCGTCGGGGGTGCACCTTCCCTTGGCAGTGACGTCCTAGAGGACAGGCAGTACGAGCTTGCTTTCCTTTCCGAGGCTGCTCCCCATCTCTGCTCCATGCTGTTAATCCATGAGGGTGACCTAGACGCCTTCGACATCCCGACCCCTCACACCTACGCTGAGGCGACCTTGGGACCCTGGGCCTCTCAGTGGATAGCTACCATGGAGCAGGAGATGGCATCTTGGAGGTCCACCGGCACTTACGTCGACGCAGTTCCCCCGCCTGGGGTGAACGTAGTCGATGGTCGGTGGATCTTCAAGGTGAAGCGCCCCCCTGGAGAGCCGCCTGTCTTCAAGGCGCGCTACGTGGCCAGAGGCTTCAGCTAGCGTGAGGGGGTTGACTTCTTCCAGACCTTCGCCCCGACCCCAAAGATGACCACTCTTCGACTACACGTAGCTGCACAGCGCGACTACGAGCTTCACTCCCTCGACTTCTCTACTGCCTTTTTTCAGGGCAGCCTACACGAGCAGGTCTACCTGCGTCGACCACAGGGCTTCACTGGGACCCAGTGGCTTTTCAGCCGCCCGGTCTACGGCCTGTGTCAGGCTCTTTGCGAGTGGCACGACACGCTGCGTGCCACGTTAGCAGACCTGCAGTTCTTTCCGTCCTCTGCTGACCCCTCGCTGTTTGTGCGTTCTGGCCAGACTCCGTTCTACATCCTTGTCTACGTAGACGACCTGGTCTAAGTATCACAAGGCTGTAACACTGATTCTGGTGTTACATTTTGTTAATACTGGCTGTTACTGGAGGTACTTAGGGTATTACTTTCTACTTCAAGTACTTGTTTGTGTCTACAGATTCTATACTTAGTCTCTTGCACCACTTTTCAATTTCTTTCATGGTATGAGAGCTGTCTGGAATTAAGACTATCGTCAATTCTACAAATGACTGGACCATCATCAGCTCCAATATCTGGTTCTTCAACAAATGGACCTACGCTTATTACAAATCCTACTGTCTTCACAGGCCAAGCAGGTGACTCTGCAGCTGGAAATTTTCCACCAGCTTATTCTTCAATCGGGATGCCTCAAAATTTTGCCTACTGTGCATCCACCGGGGACTTCGTCCTCTGCACCTGCAACATCACAGCAACAAGCAGCAGCATCAGTAACAGCGGCCTTTAGTGGTATGAGTATTGATGGTTCCAGCTATGCAAGAGCTGCAGCCGCTCCAAGCTCCAGTTCTTTGTTTGCGTTTACACCTGCTCAACATCAACAGTTCCTATTTCTTAAGCAACAGCAACAAGCACAACAATAGTTTCAGCAACAACAGCAACATCAACAGCAACAACAGCAACATCAACAACAACAACAGCAACAGCAACAACAGTTTCCGTAGTAGCAGATTTCTTTTACTGGACCTGTTTTTCAGGCTCCAAATATTTTAAGCAATACGCAGATCAAGACAACAATACCTTTTAACGGTGCCGACTTCTACTTTTGGAGTTTCGAGCTCGAGCTCCTCGCAAAATCCGCTGGATTATGGCCCTTCTTCCAGCGGCGATTATTCGTATCGTGTTACGGGAACACAGATGGGGCAGCAAAGATTTCTTCATGCTTCACTAAGCGCTTATACAGTTCTTATTCGCAATCTGTCGCTGAAAGAGCAACTCGGTATAGGCTTGTTTCACATTAGCTTGACTCCAGCCAAATCTGCATGGAAGCATTTGAAGGGGCTGTATATGGCACAGGACACCATTTTCGCGAGTAAGATTCTCTCACAACTGATAACTGTTCGGATGCAAGGCAACGAGAACGTTTTGGATTACATCAACAGGGCTCGCACACTTCGCGACCAACTTGAAAAATGCGGCGGATACTTCCCAAAAGACATGTTTGTAACAGTTCTTCTTGCCGGCCTTGGTGCAGTGTCGATCTCTTCTTCGCATTCAACCTAATCTTTCCGAAGCCGAAATTTGTTCGATTCTTCAAGCAGAGCAGCAGGATCTTAACCTGCAAACAGCATGTAACAAAAAGGGAGCAGTTAATACCAGTTTCTATTCAACGCCTGCAAGACGTGTCAACAAGTTATTCTGTCACTACTGCAAAAAGGATGGACACAGCATCAAATATTGCAATAAGCTTCATGCTGATAAAAAACTAGGAGCGGAGCAGCAGTCGCAGCAGTTCAAGCAACCCGTAAAGCAGAATCCACCAACAACAACTCCTGCCACATCCGGAAAACAAGTCTTCAGTTGTGTTACTACAGTTCATGCAACCGATTCTGATTTCGAGGATGAGGAGGAAGAAAGTTCCATCGAGCAACCTGAGAACATGATCTTACCTCATGTTTATACTAATCTCGCTCGGGTTATTGCAGGACCAAACATTTGGTATCTTGACAGTTGTTGTGGTCAACACATGTGCTTTGCCGAGACGCTCTTCATCACTCATCAGCGTCATCTTCGACGTCCAGTACCTGTCACACTTGCAAACGGACAAACGATCATGGCAAGTTCTATCGGCAGCGTCATGCTGGATTCTTTCGACACTGGTTTTTCCTTACATATTACTAACGTCCTTATCATCGCTGGACTTGGTTTTAATCTTCTTTCAACAACTCAAATCCTGCGACATAAGATCAGGACACAAGGCAATTGTGAGACCATGGGCCAGGAACTTTATCACAACGATACCAACACTTACATCGGGAGATCTGCCACTCAGTATGGCGTCTTCGTTCTTCAATTCATATCGCAAGCACTTCTGGAGATTCTAACAGAATGTTATCTCTTGGGCATTGGCAACATCCTGAAGAAACTGATTTTCAAAAGGTTGAAATAGACTTCCATGCAACTGCAGTTCCAACGGGATCTCGTACAGCCGTTGCAGTTATAACGTCTCTTGATTCCTGGCCAACAAACACAGCTGAAGAAGATGCATCAGCGTGGTGGAACTACTATGAAACTTTAACACAACTCACCAACAAACCTGAAGTACCTTGGGGACCCAGCAGCAGCAGCAGTGAAGTAGAGGAAGCCGAGCAGCAGAGTAGCAGTGAAGAAGACACAGGGGTTCTCATAGGTCAACCTGCAGCAGACATAACAGAAACAGAAATCGAAGAAGGAGAATTAGTACTACAACCAGAAGAAGTTCTCAACGTGGAAGTTAAGACCACTAAGTTACCTCTTACTCGCTTCGTTCCTGGACAACTCGTCGAATCACCAGCGCTTTCTCCTTTCATCGTTTCTTCATTTTACACCAACGCCGATTTTTATCTGAGATCAACAGGACACAAGCAACCGAGGATATATAGCATCAACGGTTAGGTCATCCATATCCGGGCATTCTTAATCATACTATACGGGCTTCAGTTCTTGACAAGAACAGCTTACTCTTACCAGATGGAACCGAGATGAAATCGCCTTCACGACCGACTGTCTGCACAATATGCACAACTGCTACTCTTCCTCACGAACCTTTTCGAAGTCATTTTCCGGGATCGACTCGTTACACACTTATGCAGAAAGTCTACATCGACATCCTCAACTTACCGGAAGCAAGACCTAAGGGGGAGCTCTATCGAGGCTTCTACTGGATATGTTTGAACGGCAAACATTCCGGCTCGTCATGTGGCTCACTCTATCTTCGTCGCATGGCTCGCGGTGGCTGAAAGAGAATCGAAGGAAAAGCTTCAATAATTTCAGAGTGATGGTGCAGGGGAGTATACGAACACTACCTTCACTGAGTATCTTCAAACCCTAGGCATCAAGCGCCGAGGGTCTCTACCACATCAACATCAACAGATGGGGGTAGCGGAGCGAATAAACAGGACGTTACAAGAAAAAATGCGAGTCTTGCTGACTCAGGCAGCATTACCACCGCATTTTTGGACTTACGCTTTGGACCATGCAGTTCTTCTACACAACTTGTTGTCGACAACTTCTCTTCCACAATTTTCTTCGCCACACCTGCAGTGGACAAAAACTTTTAAGAGTTTTTGGGTGTATCGTCCAATACCGACCTCTGACTGCACCACTCGGGATATTTCCGGAATGGGCTAAGTGGGGAATTCATCTTGGCATCGAGAAGCAGTTTTACGCGTGGAAAATTATGGATCTTTGCACGAGTCAAATTGTACCGGCACGTGATTGTCTTTTCTACGAACGACTCACCTTACCTGGATTTTGTGCTCACCAGGCACCAACTGCCAATCCTGCCAGGTTGTTCGAAGGCTCGTGTGCTTTCGCTACCGACTAGGCCGAAGCAGATGTACAGGATGAATCCGTCGCTGAGTCTTCCGAAGCTGCCACAGACATCCCCGTGCCAACCACGTCACCTGGAACTGCCAAGTTTATTCCACTCTCCAAAGCAGACTCTGAAGATGTCCGCGATGTTGTTCTTGATTACGAACGTGATCGTCAGCAGCAGCCAATGCCTGTTGTCTCCGAAGCAGCTATCCGTGTAGCACCTAAAGAAGTTGGGGGGGAACATGGGTTAAAACACAACTTCTCTAGTGTCAACTCAAATCGTCCTCATTTTACAGAAACTGGATTACAGGTATTGGGACTCAGTTAAACAGTAAAATTCTGGATCCGAAAACAGTTCGTCAAGCTTTGACAAGTCAACACAGGGAAAAATGGCGAGAAGTCATGGACCGGGAGTTAGCAGCTCTGGAAAAGAGAGGTACCTTGGATTAAATCCCGCTGAAGGAAACGAAGGGGAGTAAGGTTCTGACCGGAAAATGGGTTTTTTTCGCGTGAAGATAAACGCCGGTGGTTCCTTTTGAAAAATTCAAGGCGCGATGGTTCAAGACTTGAACAAGGATCTTTGCTGGGATTGTAGACTAGTAAGATACGGTAGCGGAAGTCTTAGAACTTGTAAGTGTTGACCAAATTTACTGTCGAGTTTTGTATGACTTCAATTATCAAAGTTACTCTTACATCTCTTAAAGGTACCTGTTCGGTAATATACCTGTTCAAAACTACTTGCGCTATGCGCTCTAATCGCTACTGAAAGGGGCGCAGCTGTTCGCGTGACTGAAACGACCTGCTGGCATAATCATCCAGACGAGCGCTACGGTATTTGCTGTCGTCATTCTACGGATGCTAGGTACAGTATAACTCGACAATATCTATCGGAACTACTTACAGAAATGCTTAATTACGATTTTATCACAACACACATGAGACCGGTACACACAAGAGGTGACTAGTAGTCACCCCAATGCTGATGTTGCCCCAAATGTTATGCTGGCCCTTGTACTCAACATCACATGGGACAGGAACACACATGAGGTGACTATTGGTTCAACTCAGAAATCACCCCAATGCTGATGCTGCCCAAAGTGTTATGCTAGCCTTTGTACTCAACATCACATGAGTCAGGAACACACATGAGGTGACTAGTAGTCGCCCCATTGCTGATGTTGCCCCAAATGGTATGTTGGCACTTGTACTCAATATCACATGGGACAGGAACTCACATGAGGTGTCTATTGGTTCAACTTAAAAGTCACCCCAATGCTGATGCTGCCCAAGTGGTATGCTGGCCTTTGTACTCAACATCACATGGGACAGGAACACACATGAGGTGTCTATTGGTTCAACTTAGAAGTCACCCCAATGCTGATGCTGCCCCAAGTGGTATGCTAGCCTTTGTACTTAGCATCACATGAGACAGGAATACACATGAGGTGATTATTGGTTCAACTCAGAAGTCACCCCAATGCTGATGTTGCCCTGAGTGGTATGCTGGCCCTTGTACTCAACATCACGTGAGTCAGGAACACACATGAGGTGATTATTGGTTCAACTCAAAAGTCACCGCAAAGTTGATGTTGCCCCAAATGGTATGCTGGCTCTTGTACTCACCATCATACTGTATGAGGCAATGCAGATCCCATTCATGGAGCGCTGCCACAAGCATGTGCGCGTCCTTGAGCACCAGCGACCCTGCAGTGATCAAGGAGTCTCATCTATTTAAACGTCTCTTTCCTCATGCAAATTATCAATTCTGTTTCTGACATGGTTTCACAGCTTATGGCTCACGACTCTCCCTCGTTCGATTCCTAGCCACCTTGCGCCCACCATGCCCTTCCTCACGCCCTTAGGCGCCGCTCCCCACGCCCTTGGGCATCGCTCCCGGTGCCCTTAGGCGCCATTCCCTGCGCCCTTAGGCGCCCCTCCCCGTGCCCTTAGGCACCCCCCGTGCCCTTAATCGCTCCTTCCTGCGCCCTTAAGCGCTTCCCGCCGCATTTCGTCGCGGCGCTCCTGCCGTATTTTGACGCGGCTCTCCCGCCGCATTTTATCGCGGCTCTCTCGCCGCTTGCGTCGGCGGCTTCCCGCTTCTTCGTGGTGCCCCCGCCTCTTTCCGTCACTTCCTCCCTC